GATAGTCTAACGACGAGAGGCGGTATAAAAAGAGGCACTGCACAGGAAAGGTGTGGAGAGGAGAAAATTTATGGAACCATTACAAAGCGGAAAACGTATGTTATAGCGTAAATTTTAGTTACAGAGTAAATTATGCAAACGTTTTGATACGTTTACACAATTTTGATACGCGCGTAAATATGTGTCTGTTTGTAAAGGAAAAATTGCACGTAGATTGTCTTTTTCATAAATAAAACTGTTTGGACGAAAAAATCGATTAAAGAAGTACGAAAAAATAAAAGTTTGTTTCTTGAAAAATATGAGTACCCGCCACATCAAGATTTCTTAATATTTATCACACTGTGCTGGTTCTACAGTTTCGTCTGACTAACACGCAAGTGTTCTACTTACACGAGAGATAGCGGTTCATCATTGCGAAAATGTATAGAGGCAATTAGCCGTGTCACATGACATTATGTTCTGTCAAAACTTTAGGCAGCTTTAGAACCGTTATTAACGTCTACAACGTTTCCGTATCGTATATTTCGTACACTCTAAAATGCTACCATATGATTATTCAAGCCGAAAATACGAGTTTAAATTAGTGATTACCTTGCAAATTTTGGAAGTTTAAATTAGAGAGAGAGGGAAAGAGAGAAAGAGAGAGAGAGAGAAGCAATTCATACATCCTGCTTTTCCACAAGAGGGACGGTAAATATCTCAGAGGGCTTTCAACTCTTTAAACGATCGTTTGAACGCGTAATTGCTATAACTGGATGCTGTAAGCATGGCGCGGCTTATGAATAGTAATTCGTGCATTATTATTAGCTTTGACTGCAATGATCTAATTACTATCAGTTTCCGATATCGTACTTATTAGTAGTCATCCAACGCAGATTACAAATGCGAATTCCACAGATGAATGAAACAAAGAACGGAAAGTAAGAATAATGACCCATATTGACCTCAGCATGAAATATATATATATATATATATATATATAGTTTAGTTTTTTTCTTAACAAAAATTATATGTAGAATATCTGACAATTTTCTAAATCTTGTACAGCAAATATTTTTTTATATTTCATTGATTATTATAAAAAAATATTTATTTTAATTTACAGATTTACTTTGAAGACTTCATGACAATATCGCAAGAAGATTAGATAATTGATTAATAAAAACTATTTCTGGAACTAGTCGTCCTATTAAAGTTTCAAATAGAGTTTTTATATCCCTTATATTAATGAATTATATATCATTGTTAAAGTAAGACACAAAAGTGAGCATTTCATACTTAAAAAAAATTAATATTTTACATTGTAAGGATAATATTCTTTTTCTGCTTTTAAGTCAAAGAGTAATGTTCTTTCATTCTGCACTCGGATACTTGGAGTCCGCTGTTAATCGAAGTCATGGGTAATGTCCGGAAAATTACCTAGGCATCCAGGATAAGATCCGAAATATCTTAATACTTATCTGTAGACAACATGACTTCCAAAATATTCACAAGGGAGAGAGCGAGAGAGAGAGAGAGAGAAGTTCCAGAATAACTACATAACAGATACAAGAATAAACACAGAATAAACACAGAATAAGCTACGAATTATTGTATCATTTATATCATCTCAATTCAAATAGATTTTTCAAAATTGAATACAAGATTACAATAAATGATAACGTTTCTCGAAATTTCCTTCTAATTGACTATTCGTTAAAGCGAATTATTAAAGTAGAGCAGATTTTGTAACGTGCTTTGATAATTTATCGATAAGGATCTCCCATATTCACAAAGAAGGATTTCAACTTGTATATACATTTGCGCTTTCAATTTTAAAATCGTCAAAAGTTCACACATTGAATTTCATCTTATTTTCGTATCGTTTATAAGCATTATGTTACCTTCTATTTGAATTTCAAATTACCACAAAAGACATCTCGCCAAGAATTCCCAGCCGTGAGATCCACCCGAACATGCGGCAATAACAAGTAGTAGCTGCAATAAAAAAAAAATAGAGGGAAGGAACAGTCGCTCGAAGTTACTTTTTCGAATAGTAGCGATGAAACATTCTTTTCAGGAGTCGAATACAGAAACGTCGTCGGTCGCGAAAATCCAATAAAGACGGTGCTCGTAAAGCGAAGCAAAGAAAGGATTACCATACCGACGAGAATAATGCACGATGAAATGTGATGGTGAATTATAACGGAATGTCATTATATTCTTAGAATGTTAAGAAAAAAATACGACATTTTTCGTTGCGATTTTACATATGTAAAATTGTGAGGATCTAACGATTTTCGCTACTATAATCTCGCGCATGTCATCTCTTATCTCCAGAAATCTAACACTGGCAATTTAATACTGAAAGACAGTAATTAATTACTTATTTTTAAAATTAATAACACTTATTTAATGTTTTTAGTACTCTAAATAAGCAATTAATTATTGTCTTCCAATAATGAATTAGCCATTAGATTTCTGTAAAAGATGGGCTCATTGTCAGTATTTAAATAATTTATACACATTGATTTAACATTATTTTCTTTAATATTATATTTTATTTACATTATTTATAGAAATGTGAGGTTCATATAAAAAAATATAAGACTCAAATTTTGATTGAAAATATCTTGATACAACCTACTTCGCTTTAAGTTATCTCGTTGAACACTGGTTCTTTGATTTTCTTTTATTTTAACTCCTGAAGTAGCTTGAAAGACGATACGCATAAGGTTATTACGGCACGATGTCCTTTTATGATTTTCTCTTCCAGCAGCTGCATGCTGCTACTCTTCTAGGACTCGCTTGAAAAGACAAAACACGCGGGTGCATTTCATGGATTCGATGCGCGACATAGAGGCGCGAGCCTAACTTGACAAAGAGTGCAGGCGTCGGAAGTGAAATGCAGCGCGATATAATGGTGCGGCAGACAAATGTCGATGTGCGAGCAACAAGTGCCGAGAGGGCCGTCTACTTCTGACAATGAGCAGGAAATCTGGCCGGCTCTCTACGGATACGTGTGCAAGTAGAGAGTGTAGGAGCGCGCGCTGGTCACAAAGAGGCATTGCAGTCACAATTAGCGATCACGCAAATTCAGGTCTCGTTTCATTCAGCGACAGCTGTACTTTATATGGAGTCTCCCAACACCGACATATCACACGGCGACGAGTCGAAAGCACCGCGGAGCACGAGAGCGCTTTGTTGTGTAAGGAACATAGTGGTATGGAGCGAGAATTGAATCAGTCATTCCGAACGAGCCCTGTCTTCACTAAAGTACGTTTTACGGCGAAGGTGGAAAAGCCGGTAAAATGAACGATAAAATAACGTTTCAATAGCGTAAAAAAGCGATCCGATGTTTGGAAGACAATCCTGGATGTTTCGTGAAATATTCGTGTCTATCGATCTCAATAAGAAAAAATTGTCCAAACATAAATTCAAACTATTTAAGACTCCGTAATAATGTATATCGATTCGAATTGATGCGATTACTTCTTACTACAAATTGAAAGAATTTTAGAAAAACATATTTATATTTTATATCGCTTATTTGCTACAAGTCTTTCGGAAAATAAAAATTGGAATGTTTTGATTCATTAAAATTTTATACAATTAATTTTTAAATGCAACCGTGATAACTGATTACAGGGGAATAAAATTATATTCTCTTAAAGTATATTTTTTAACATTTTCATTTTTTTTTCAATATAATTTCAAAAATTACAATTATAATAGCAAATGAGCAAATTATATATATTCGACTAAGAATATTATTACAATATTATCCATTGCATCAACTGATTTTCATTCACAAATGTGAATGCACGTTAATTGTTTAATATATATGTGTAAGTATTAATTGCGAGCGCCGCTCGAGTGTATAGTTTCTCGTGCGCGTGAAGAGCCGTGTCACGACCATAATAATTGGTAATTGATAATTGAGGAAATACGCGGCAGATAAGGGAAACAATAGCGCAGCGGCGTTTTGCGCGGCCAGGGAAGTAAACGATATATTAATCCTACAAATGTATACGCTTATCTACCTCCACGATCGCGTTTTTACAGTTTACACGCGATACAGTCATTAAAAGAGAATTCGATATGTATCGCCGCGTCATTATTATACCGCCTGATCTATCGCATACCCTGTAACTCTCGTTTTATATTCGTGACAGGTGTAATTTAGAAATCGAACGGGTACTTAGTGTGGGCCTCGGGTGCGAAATATTACCCGGAGATCGTAAAAGAAAACGTTAAACAGCAACAACGAGATTCCGTCCGATTTTATATGATATTTATGCGGACGTGAGCGGCAAGCGAGAAAACGCATAAACAATATGGATATAATTTTTAATTATTACGAAACGGCAATAAACATTTTCGAAATAAATCAGATCCCGCGAGTGTAATAGAACGTTAAATAGTAGATAGATATTCCTTTATAGTTGAAAAAATTAATTACTAATTTATGTCAAAGTGTCAGTGAATGATATTACCACTTATAAAGTGTATAATTATGCTATTATTCAAGACTGATGTCGACATCATGATTTACCTGATAAGCATACCAGTATAAAGCATATCAAGCGTACTACTATAAAGTAGCTACTTGTGATTTAAGTTTAGCAAAACGTTATATAGAATGATGGATAATTATTTAACAACCAACACATTTCTGCTAATTGATATTAGTATCATTATGAAACGTTTAATTATGTTATTATTTAACGCTCTACAAATACATATACCGATATAACGTAAATGAAATAGTTACATTTTGTTCCACAAATACGTGTACGTTAAAGGCCTTAATAATAGACGAGCTGTAATTGTCAAGTCATACCATATAGCTTACTGCGAATAATTAAATTTTCTAAGAGTTATACAATCTGAATAGATATCTAGACATTCTCTGGGTTATATTAATGAATTATAATCATAAATATAATTTACATTAATTCAAAAATAATATATTTCTTGAAAATTGTTATTTAAGGAGAATTCAATAAAATTTTAGAATTTATATATGTATAATACAATAATATAAGATTTTAAAATTACTGATAGATAAAAATGTGAAAGAGATCTTCGATGTTATCTGAAACCTGATGGAATCTTATCGTCGACGAGCTTCGATCCTACATCGATTTTTTACTAATACTTGATTAGGCGGGCATCTGATAGGAGCATCTATGATTTCCCGATAGTCCGATTCATTCCGACCTAATAGTGTCGTTTCATTCCAGTTCGATTCCAAGGTCGGTTGGATCGTTTTGGGCTCGGCAGTCGAATGTTGGTAGAATAGAGAGTCGATTCCGGTTTTCATGGTACCCTTGATTGTCTGCCCGATGTTGTTCAATGTGTTTCCGATATCATTCCAGACAGAACGCCTCGCTTGGAGGCTGCTGGCTTGTGTGGCGCACGTCAAAGCGACGAGCAGCAGAAGCACGCTCAGAAAACGTTGAGGGAAATAAAATCTCATTTCTCTCTGTATCTTTCCTTGAAGGCGCGAAGAACTGCCACCTTAAACAAACCTTAAACACGTTCGATACGTTATTGTGAGATATTTCTGGTATAGTATTACGTCAGAAAATCTATTGTCTAATATTTTAAAATATTAGACAATAGATTTTCTAACGTAATACTACATTTAAAAATTTAAAAGGTATAAATAGATAACAATTGTTATCTATTTATACATTAAAAATTTTTGAATTTTAAACTATTGCAAGTCAAGAATTATCGTAATGTTACAACATTAAAACAACGATCATCTCTCTTAGTTTATTCTCGAGTTTCAGATTCTCCAGTAATCAAGAGGAGTAGCGCGATAGTGTTGGGATACTCTGTATCTCTAATGGCTACAAACATCTGTAAACACTTTTAGTAGTGGATGAAATTGAGTAACTGTGATATGATTCATGTTATCAATTTATTTTCAAGTTCATAATATATAGAATAATACGGAGAACTTGAGTGTATTATCTTGAGTGTATTGTCGTAAAATTCTTTGAGTAATGTATGGCAAAGGAAAGTTATTATATTATAATATATTATATTATATTATTTTTTACACTCTGTCAGATATTAAAGGAACAATATAGTATAATCCAATCTCTTGAATTAAATAACATTCTGTTATTTTTAACTTTCATCATGTATGTCAAAATGTAAATCAATACATTTCTGGAGTTAGTTTCAAAATAAACGTCCATATTAATTTATGCACTTATTAATAATAAACTAAATTTAAGCCAAATTTAATATACTTTCTTGAATTCATTATTTATTCCGTTGTTTTAATTAAATTAACAACATGTTGAGTAAGACCAGTAGTGATTTATAGAAATGAATAAAAATAACTCAAATTGGGTATAATTTGATATTATGAATTTAACAGTGTATATTAAATTGTATTAATTAATATTAATTATATCAATTATAAATTACAATAATTAATATTAAATTATATAAATAAATATTACACTAAGTGTATATTAAATTAAAAATGTCTGCATCTTGCAAATTTTCTGTCGAAAAAGAGAATGTTTAAAAAATGTATTAGAACACAACTTATAATACGTCGAAAGCGCGACCAGAAATTGGCCACAAACTTATCAAATTTTTAATTATACTTTGAAGTATCTACGATAAGATGAATAATAGAAAACGTATAATGAGATTGAAAATGTACCTCCGTTTTCTATCTGTTCCAGACTGCGTCTGAAAGTGGTGCGCAATCGTGGAGAGTAGGTTACGTGCCGCGGAAAACGATGAATGGGTTGTCAGAAATGAGTTGTTCGGATCACGGTGGTGGAAGGTTCTTATCGTGCGGAATGAAGTAAAATACGAGCCTGTTCAGAAACATTTATGTGCACGTGCTCAATAATGTTTCCTCGCCCCTGTCTGCGCCTAGTCACGCGATTGCGCTCTCGTCTCGTCTCGCCGCGAATTCTCTGTATGTAATATAATACACACCATGTATTTTCTGTGTATTATAATACAGCCGTCGAACGCACTGTGATGCGAAACCAAATGTTATTATGGCATATCGTCCGTCTTCTCACAAACAGATTTTGAGTCGCAAGAGGTACCATCGCAAAATCGATACTGATGCATAAGTCGTATTGTTTTTTTTAACATTCTTTCTCAATTAATGTATTTTTTAGTATTTTTTCCAGAGAAATTAGAAAAGATATTGACTATAAGATTGTTTGAAATAAAAAATATAAATAATAAGAAGCAGAACAGCCACAACGTAAGATATCTTAAGCAAAAGTCATGTATTAAAAAATTTTTAATATTATAAAGTAAACGTTTCAGTCAAGTCTTGACCATCATCAGTACAATAAAATATAAAACGATGTTATAAAAATTAAAAAGAATATTAACAATTCTTCGCTAGTCCAAAATTAACGATAACAAAATTACGTTCGCTTATGAAACGAGTTGATAATATTTTAAGTCCAGAATTGAAGATGACAAATTTACATTCGCTTATGAAACGAAATTTTATTGCAAAATAAGTTCCTTGTTACTTGAAGATTTGTGAGCCTTCGTGTGAAAAATACGGAATTTCCAGATTCTAGTTAAATTTAAAAAAAGAGAACAAAATTTTTATATGCTACTTTTTGATATATTGTCAATAATAAGAATCGGTTTAGATTTAGCTTACCACGTATTTTATGACAAAAGTCCTCTCAAGTATAATTCGGAGTTTTTAATGTAAATTAACAATAAGTCTTTTATGTAAGAACTATTCTTGACAAAATGTGATTGTACGTACCTTGCGACAGTCTTTATAAATTATGTAAGGAAAGGAGAGAGAAGAAAAGTAAAGGGGAGTAGTTTATTGGAGAGTAAAGAGACTTTTTTCAATAATTGGTAGATAAATGTTAGCATTCTGTATCGCTCTGTTTATTCAAACTCATTGTTTGTCTTTTGATATGTGTCATCTCGGAGACTATCCTTTTATGATATGATTGTTCGGAATCTAAAGTTATTGTGTTCTCTCAATCAATCCTATGATCGTGATCTAGTTTGTGATGAGAAATAACAGACATAGTATTAATTGGTTTTTTTATGTTTTTTTATGTCATTATTGTATTCTTTTAAATGAGTTTTTAATTTCCTTTTTGTCTGTTCTACATATGAAGAGTTGCAGTCGAAACAATTTATTTTATACATGATATTTGAGTGATCTTCTTTTTTAATTTTATTTTTACCTGTTTTAATAAAAGTATTCAAACAATTCATAGGTTTGTGGGTAATTTTGAAATCAAATTTTTGTGTAAAAGTTTTTCAAATTTGTTTATAATAAAATTAGAAAACTTTCAATAATTGTGTGTGTGATGAGTTTCTGCTAAATGGCATCTAATGCATGTGCATTTAAAGGATCTAAAATTTTTCGTAATAAGGAATAATCTTATTCAAATACTGTTTAGTATTTTAACACGCCGATAAGTATGTAAAATCAGCTTAGAGCGACAATTCTTATTATTTATTATATGTATGTTCGATGACTTTCCAAAAGGATATAAAATTGTTATTATTTATTACTGAGGAATTATTATCACTGAGGAAGACTTTGTATGTCGAAATGTTTGTCGTTATATTAATGTACTTATGTAATTAAAATAAAATTTAATGAATTAAACTGTAATTGTTCGTTATAAGCCTTGATATCAATTATATTGCTTAGCATTTATACGAGTTTATTTATTTTTTATTTTATACCGTTTAAAATAATAAACAATTTAATAAATTCAAATTCACGTTACGTTGGAATATGCTACTTATCTATAAAAACTTATATATAAAAATAAAACTTGCAACAAAATTTAATAATATATGGACATCAAGATCGTTTCAAATTTATTTGCATGAAATGAACTATGCAATGACTACAAAGTGTAATCGATATTTTTGCATTTTCTGAGAGACTTTATGTTTCATCCATCTCCTCTCTTCGTTATTCGATATCGAGAATCGATCTAAAAGCAATGAATGCTATGGAGAATTTCTCGTTTTGCTCTGAGCAGTTTACTTTTTTAATCACGGCGCTGTTACAGTAATGGTAATTACAGCGTAGCGAGATATCGATCAAGCTTACGTGCCGGGTATTTTTAAAGAAGAAATCAACTAGAACAATTTTTGACAAATTTGTAGTTGACCACTTTTTGATATAATTTTAATTAATAGCATAAAAAATTAAGTAAATATTGATTTAAAAAATACTTTATTAAATTTTAGGAGAGTTAATGAAATCAGTTTTCAAAATAAAAATAGTAAAATTTTAATTTAAGTTAGATTATATTAACAAGAATTGACATTTGAATAAAAAAAGATTATTGAATGAAATTGACAATCTTTCTTATAGACAGTGACAAGCAATTAAATTTTTGCTTAGGAGAAATCAATTTGTTAAGGAACACAGTGATGGGATCCATTAGTTCTATTTCTTCAGAGCTGTGAAGATAGCTTCAGATTCCTCTATACGAAAGTGTTAGATAAATGAAGATAAGAAAGTTGAAGGAGAGAGAACTGTACATCAAACGTACGTACGTGAGAAAGGATTCCCTACCTGGTTGCGTTTTTGCACTTTGTATGCCAACGACGTTTTATATCTTGCCGGTACCTAGCTGTAAAATCCCGTAGTGCCTGCTCACAATGTAATAAACTCACTTCCAGGACGAATAACGAACGTTATTCACGGGGGACGCGCAGCCGTGGCGAAGGCTTTCTTTGAGCGACGGCAAGACGTAAATGCGAGAGCTTTCCCGACCACCAAGTCCCGTGTACATCTTGCCGACGAGAACGTATCGTTTTTTAACGGGCGTGTCAAAGGGGCGTTTGTTTTATCTGAATATATGTGAATCACTGAAGCGATAGACGCTATCGCATTTTTGCTCTCTCGCGTTTCCCATGCTTTCCATTATTAATCTGGATTTCTCGTTATTAATTCGAGTGGTAACTCTCACTATCTTCTCGACTCTTCACGACAGACATGCGTGTATATATAGTGTTATAATTAAGACTTGAGATCTCCTCGTGTACTCTTACATGGCACTAGACTCTTTAATCAATCTAGAATTACTTTCACATAAACGGGAAAGTTCCGATATCATTGCCTAATAATAACTTTTACGATACGAATAACTTATTCACTTAATCTCAAGCTTTTAAACGAGAGTTTATATTTTACAAAAGTTGTTTTTACTACTTTGAGGTATATTCAGAATTAGATGTTCACTGTTACAAAAATCATTGAGTGGAATAAACATTGCGCTGAAAAAGTCATTTACGTAAATTGACTAAAAAATCTATAGACGAAACAGAAATTTGTACTTTCAATAAATTTTTTTTTTTTTTTACTCATGCGCACATGTTTCCTATTAAACTAACTTTTATGCATAAAAAAATCTAAATTATTTGGTATAGTGATCAAAGGATTCAGGCTGTTCGTTAAACCGAGTTACTTAACCAACATGTGTGCGATGTACGTTTTTATTATTGGATATCTCTCCCGTTTTTGCTGGCTGTAATCTGACACGACTACAGGTCTCACGTGTATTACAAAATCCGTGTACACGAACAACATGTACCCGCATATTGAAAAGCAACTAAAGCCGTGCTGGTAACTACATGTCAGTAATAACTGTGTTACACTAACCGTGTGCAACGCGCGTTTGTATACACACGTATCGGATTTCGCGTATACGTATAATTTAAGCATCCGATATCATCGAGATCCGTGTGAACATTTTTTCTGGAAGATCTTATTAAGTTAAGGTCGATAAGGATTGTTCATGATGAAGTCGTAAAACGTCATTTATGTAAAATATTATACAGTATGTAAACGATATGTGCACACGTGTCACCTATCAACAAGGGGCGATAAAAGTGGCATAGCTGATTACACGCGAGGTAACAAATTTCAAATGTGACTGCGTAGTGCAGAAATGTCATGGGAACAATTCATCAAAGTAAACATTTACAAGTTCGTTCGGTGTAGATCTGATATATTTAATATAATAGATATATTAATATAAAATATGTCGCTCAATATTGTTCGTGTTAAAGCAATAACACATAAAGTTTCTACTCGTCATCATAAGAAGAAGTCGCATCAGTGAATATTGCAAAGCGTTGCAAAGTTCTGTGCGGCGAACGAAGATCCGATAAATAATTCGAGTTCAGTCTTCCGTGGAAGTTTCTCAAAATGTTTTCGTAAACATCTGTTCGATATATAAAATACATTCGTGCGTATTATTTTTTCCGCAGGGAATTCGTCATGCGTCAGATAAATAAGTTTTTTTTTGCTCGGACTTGTTTTGCAGTTATTAATTATATTTTTATAAATAAATATATATATAAAACTATAAATTAGATTTTTATACATATTTTTTATAAATTATATAAAAATATAAGTATTATTAATATTTTATATAAATATATTATATTTATGTACATGAAAATATAAATATAATAAATATGAAATATTATTATAGAAAATTGTATATAAATCACATCAATAATACTTTTTCATCATCAAAGCTACGGAAGAAGAAATCTTATGCTTATATCGTTAGATTCATTTCTCGTAAATTAAAATTTGCAATTTTACCACAGCAAATATTGCTTGGAAACTGTGGGCATGCTAAGTGGAGTCTGCTCTTTATGGTCGTCCAACCGCAAGATAATTTTTTATAGCGCGCTTGAGAGCGAGAAATTTAATTGCCCAAGTTTGCTGCTTTACAACTTTGTATCTTGTACGTTTCAAATATTGCATCAAAATGTTTCGTCGTGCTCAAAACGATTGCAGTCGCGATAAGTTCTACACGAGTTTTTCTACAGAGCAGTGGAGTAGTTAAAATTTTTGAATCAGTATGGAAACTCTGCTGATGTATTTTTATAATTTTTATTAATATAAAATATTCTTATTAATAACATTTTT